GGTCTCCGAGTTTTCTCCTCAGATCATTTAAAGTGAAGCCGAAAGAGTACTTGTGAATTTCTGGTGCCAAAGGATTTCCCAAAAGATCATGAATACTTCATTTCATCAACTTTCCGAGGTAAAGCCTCCGATCGCGAAAGTGCTCAAAGACATGCAAGCTTACATGAAAGACATATCACCGTTGGAGAAGCGCTTGAAGTCATATTTTGAAGATGTTTCGCAATACACAAAGGTCAAATCGGATTTCGCGCAGAGAGAGACACAAGAGATGCACGAGAAGTCTCTTTCGTTTGCGCAACGTGATCTTTCCGTGGCTGAACTGCAAGAGAGTGAGCTCATCGAAACGGCGAACAATGTGAAGGTTGAAATTCTTGAAATCACCAAGCAACTAGAAGAGCTGAGGAACAAGAAAGAATCAGCAAGTTCATCCCTTGGTAAAGTCGAAGAAGATTTGGCCAAGATGCAGCAGGTTGTGGCTATGAAAAGAGAGAATATTTCTCGTCTTGAGAATACACCATTCTTATCTAACCATGAGATGGAAGCCTTGGAGAAGATGGAAGCACTACTTGAAGAATCTCGGCGGGAGCTAGAAGCTTTTGATTTGTTCGCTTAAATGCTACCTTTTTTTTTTTTTTTTTTTTTTTGCTCATGTCGTTTTACTATCTTTCGATGTAAAAGAACATTCCGTCCTTTTTTTATGCAATATAATTTTCTCTTGCTTCTCATAAGGCCTTACTATCGTCTTGGCATCATTTTTTCATCATTATGCAGCAAATAATAACTTTGGATGATTACATCGCGCACACTTTTGGATCCGCCTAATTTTACAAGTTGGCTAACTTAAAAGAAAATTAACCGAACTTGCTTAGAATAAACGCAGTTACAACGAACATTTTTTTTTTTTTTTGGTTTGACTGAACTTAGAATATGGGTCTAAGCTGCCTACGTACCCTCCTCAAAGGGATCAAGTCATAACGTAGTTCAAGCGAACAACTTATGATATTTTTTTCTTTTTTTTGTTTTGTTTTGACTGAACTTAGAATATGGGTCTAAGCTGCCTACGTACCCTCCTCAAAGGGATCAAGTCATAACGTAGTTCAAGCGAACATGCAACGTTAATTCACCATGTTCTTTTCCTTGAAGGTAGATGTTCTTCAAGGGTAGTAACGCTTCTAGAATTTGGCATTTATGGGGGCGA